TTCATACCTTGAGTTGTCGTCGAGAACAATTTAGAGGCGCTTCTGCCGGCCAATGGCGGAGCGGGGCGCTAGCGCTCTGTTAACCCCACTAAGAGCGCCAGAAGAACAGCTGACTAAGGTTGTGGCAGCAGTCATTAGGGGGGCTCGCGTCCTCTGATGCAAACCTACAACCAGAAGCCATCCCTTCCCTTTCCTCAAAACATGTCGGACACAGTATCGTCGGGGGATAGGAGGCGACGATTCGCCAAGGCAAGTCCACTAATACTTGCAGAATAATACGCATTTACTGACAGATCGACCAGGCATGCGATCTCTGTCGCGCCAAGAAAGCGAAATGTGATGGTACCAGGCCCGTCTGCAGCAGGTGTCTGGGTCTGCAGGCACCCTGCAACTATGCCGATGTCAGCAAGCCTGCACGACGACAACGACTCCGCCAACAAGCTCGCCAACCCGCTGCCCCGGGCGTTTCCCCAGGGACGCCGCAGCGCGGCACTGGTGCAGAGAGGAATGAGACCGGAAAACGTGCTCAGCAGCAAACGCGGAGATTTTCGGCCGAAGGGAGCTCAAGTTCGCGGCCACCGTTTGTGGGTAGTGCGTCTCCATCCGAGGCAACACCCTCTGAGGATCCATCGAAAGCAGGCCGAGACTCGTTGATGGGGGCAGGGCGAGACTTACGATATTTCGGTATGGCCGTCTTGCATCTCTTTCCGGAGCTTCCAACCGCATACTAACACGGCTCAGGATCCTCATCAGCGATCTCATTGCTTCGAGCTCAACCCGTCCCAGTCGAACTTCCCAGTGCCCGCGAAAAGACGGCGCGGCCAGATTCGGAAGCAGGGCCCTGGTCTCTGTGGACTCACCCCAAATTACAGGGCGTCTTTGAGAGAAAGCTACACTGTCCCCTACCACCATGGACCGAGGCTCTGTCATTGGTGAATGCCTTTTTCGAGCAAGACCACATGGCGCTGCCTATCTTCCACCCACCTGCGTTCATCGCTCTTCTGGGACAACAGTACTCTGAAGAGTCGGAAAAAAGGCCAGCTTGGTGGACTGCATTCAACGCCGTTCTCGCAATTTCCCACCGCAGACGTGTTGAAGAAGGTGCTTCAACGGACAAGGAGCTCATGTGGAGTTATGCGGCAAACGCCCTGGATACTGTCCTCGACATTCTCCTGAGAGCCACGCAACTCATGTCGGTCCAGGCTCTTTTGACTCTTGCCTGGTTCTTCCTGGGAACCCCTAATCCGCAACCCAGCTTCATGCTGGTGGCAAATGCCATCCGTCTGGCACACTCCATCGGACTACACAGGAAGAACTGCGGCACCTCCCTGAGTCCGCTGGAAAGGGCGACAAGAATCAACGTCTTCTGGCTGGCGTTTTCCCTGGATAGAGAGCTGAGCCTCCGCACAGGCAGACCTCCCGCGCAAGACTTTGGCGACTTTGACGTGGACCTGCCTGATCTTCAATTGCAGCCTGACTTTACCAACAGCAGCTCCATGCCTGCATCATCGAAGGTCTTCTCCGCCGGGACCCGGCTCGCGGTCATCCAGGCGAAGTTATACTCAGAGATATACCTGAGCGAAGGCCTTGAGCCAGTCGACATCAAGAGGAAAACCACAGATCTGCATCGAGACTTGGAGGAATGGCGTTTATCATTTGCTCTCTGCCTAAACTTGCAAAGATACCCGGAGCTAACGAAGCAAGCTTCAGTTCTACGTCTTAATTACACATACTACCACACAGTCATCCTGGTTCATCGAGCTCAAAGCGACATGGAATGGAGGAGGTCCAGCAATCCCGAAGGTCCTCGCACGCCCTCTTCTAAGTCCATCGAACGCTCACTTGAGGCCGCAAGGTCAATATTGAAAATCGCCTCCTTCGTCCCAGGGACTTGGAAAAGTTTCTTATGGTGCGTCAATGACGAATGCTTCTTTCAAAATTTAGACGCATCACAGCACTGACATTTGTGGACTCCAGGGACGTTATCCCAATCAATGTGACAGCCATCATCGTTCTGTCTCTCCACCTCCGGCGTCGACCAGGCGCCTCAACTGCAATAGACGACCTGGACCTCATTTGTGAAGGCGTCAGACGTCTCATGTCTCTTGAACACGAGGAAACGGAGTCGTACCTGAGACCTGTTACGACAGCTTGCCTGGGCGTCTACAATGCTGCTATTAAAGCTGTGAGATTGCATGTAAATGGGCCAGCAGAGAATCTCGATATTGAACCGGAACGATCCGTAACAGTCCTCAACGGCACTGAGGCTGACTCTGAGCGCCGCACAACTAGCCTCAGAAACTCTTGCCAAACAACGCCGCGGAGAGCCACTTCCCCCTTCAGATTTGAGCCGGAACCCGACTTGGTCACAAATGCGCAGCCCCCTGTCCTCGATACCAACTTCATATCATGGGATCAAACAATGACAGACAGAGAAATCGTGCCTTGGGAATTTGAATATCTTTTAGGCGACAACAGCTTTGATTCTCTAGGATGAAATGAAATTCATGAGGGGCTACGAAAATTAAGACACCCATTCAGGCTTTGATCGTCCCCTCCTTCCTGTTGGCACCTCCCATCCGAGTGTGGTTGATGAGAATTTGAATGAGGGTGCTAAAACCTTGATGTCATCATCAAGACCGTACTCTTTTCCGGACATGTCCCAGAAGTACTCAGGGTGTGTGAAGAGATCGGGACGGATCTTCTGCCACGATGCGTGCGTCTTCCCAACAAGCACGCTCATATCATCGGAATGGCGTGGTAGGAAATCAGGGTCGCGGGCGCGTAGCTCCCGCTGTTGGTCCTCGGAATATAATCCAAGCTGATAACACCAGATGTTGTACTGGGTCAGGCTGATGTCAATGTCAAAGGTGACGTCCTCCTTCGTGCGCCCCAGCAAGGCTTGAACAGCAGCCGTGGCACCGACCAGTCCAGTTTGGTAGTCGGAGTTGGCTTGAAGAAGGTCAGAACATCCAACATCATGGAGTTGCAAGAGATATACTTACGAAGCAATGGCACGACAGCCTCATCGAGTCCGAGGAACTTGCCCTGCAGATACGAGAGGCCTACCAGGCAATCACTGATTTGTTGCCACCCAGATCGATGGGCAAGCGGGCCCTTGAAGCCGTAGCAGTTCTCCCGCATGTAGATGAGACTGGGACTGAGCTTGCGCAGAGTGGTGCTGTCAAACCCCAGCTTCTTCAACACCCCAGGGCGGTACCCGTCTACAAGAATGTCCGCGCCCTTCACAAGCTCCGCAAACGCGCTTCTTCCCTCGTCCGTCTTGAGATCCAGGTTGGTGTCCCTCTTCCCGGTCTGGAGATCCACCATTGTCGGTGCGTACTCGGGCAGCTTGTCGCAGGAGACCCGAAGGACATCGGCTCCAAGTAGGCTGAGAAGCTTTGAGACCGCGGGGCCTGCGATGACGCGTGAGAAGTCGATGATTCTGATACCGGCAAGAGGCTTGAACCCAGATTGATCCTTTGCCTGGGGCCATCCTTTCCGCGGTGCCGGGATCTTGGTGGCACTCCACAATGGCTCTTTTGACAGGATCTTGCCATGCTCGCTTCCAAAGAACTCGTCGGGCGTGTAGCAAATTACACCAGCTTGCTTGTACTGCTCATTGGCAGTCTGTTCGATGTCTTTAGAATCCCACTGGGCAACCTTGTCGGTATAGATTTTGATCGCCTCTTGGGGACTGACGTCGACATCGCTTACACCCATCATCTTCATCGTCGGCTCGGCGTTCATGGACCCGTGCAGGTGATACCACCGCCCGTCCTTCGTCTGGTACACGTTGGTCGCATACCGCCTGATGGGATCAGACATTCGGTGCAGATCCATCTTGGAAAGCTCCTTCATCATCTGGGGATGCTGCACGAACGACTTTCCGCCGACTCTGGGGAGCAAGACGGACTCCAGGAACAAAGTCGCGGCGTCGGTGTTCACCTGGACTTCCTGGAGCTCGATGCCGTACCTCTCCGCGGCGGCGACGTTGGCTGCTGTGGCCAGGAGGGCTGTGAGGGAGGCGCATGACTCCGTGATCTTCAACGGGGTAAGGACGAATGGTTTGTCGTCGTCTGCGACGAATTTGACTTTCTTGGCGGCATCTTTGAAAGACGGTGGGAGGTTGAGGCCAGGGTCGGCAAGTAAGACGTCGTTCAGGATGCGAGTTGCCTCGCCGGAGATGGTGTAAGGTGACATGGTGGTTATTGCTGACCAAAGTTGGACTTTGATAAGTCCGAGAGTCCGCATAACGTTTTAATCTCTGGATGCACGCCATTTTAATGAAGAAGATTCACACCGATACTTGCGGTCATGATACGGAAATCGTTCACTAGTCCGAGTCAGAAGACCCGTACGGTCCACACTGTTTCATGGATGCCAAAACTCCGGTGGTGGGCAACTTCGACTTACATCCCTCGGCCGAATGCAACCGTTGTCTGACGGGTCTTGGCATCGGGCTCGACGTTGGTACTGTTTGCTTGGCGTAAGCACGCTGTTTTTGGTTTATCTTCAAAGCCAATATCCACTTCTTTCCAACAACATTCTCATTAATCCAAGGTCATCAACATCAACTCTTCAGTTTTGTTTGACAGCGCTCCGCTTGTACGAGCCGAGGCATCGTTAAACGCCTGGGCCACTCATTATGGGGTCGGAGTTCTGGCACCGGAGTTTTATGGCGCCGGAGTTCTGGCATTGGAGCTTGGGCGCCGGAGTTTAGGGACTAGTTGAGGTCCAGCCCACTCCATGACGTACCAAAAGCAACCCCGACGACAACCACGTAGTGCAGCCGCATACTTCGGACTTGTTTAGCCGACAACATTGATTGGAGGCGAGTCAGAGAAGTCCGTGTCAGTCCTGATCCTGGTGCTTCGCTGTATTTCTTTAAACTCATCACCGCCTCAATTCGGCATCGATTTGATAGCCGGAAGGAATAAGAGCGCATTTCGTACATCTTTCATTCAATACCACCCCGAAAAAAGATCCCGTGGCTCAATATGGTTTCAAACGATGAATGGAGAAGTGGCTCTAGGGGCATCAGGCCTGTTCGGATAGCGAATTGCTCTGGCTACCATGGTAGGGTCTTGTCAGCTACGTGGCCTGGCCGACTGTGCTAACAAGTCTTACAGGCGACCCGCCAAGAGAAATGTACAAACAGGCAACTCTCGGAGATGTCGATTTCATCACCGGGGATTACTTGGCAGGTATTTACGGCGCATTCTTCGCAAGAGCTTGTAATATGCTGATGAGATCCCAGAGGTGAACATGGCCAACAATGCCGAGGCTTATGCACAAGGAAAGCACAACGGCTATGAGGAGACTGCCTGGGAAGGCTTACTTCAAGCTATTGACGTTGTTGCGGATAAACGCATCAAAGTTGCAATCAATGGAGGGGCCCTAAATCCCGGAGGCCTTGCCTCGAAAGTGGCCGATTTGGTGTGTAACTCTAAGTCCATAAACTCGGTTGACAACTGACCCCGATTAAGGTGCGTGAAAGAGGCTACGACCTGAAAGTCGCCTATGTTTCTGGGGATAATGTCCTACCGAAATTGGGAAAACATATGCCTCAGCAAAAAGAGGAAGCGCTGGCTCATCTTGATTCTGCCAACCAGCATGTCACCTTGACTTCCGAGTCGTTCATGTTCACCAAGAAAGACAGAGAGCCAAGAGAAATCGTCTCAGCCAATGCCTATCTCGGCGCCCATGCCATTTATGAGGCCCTGCAGAAGGGCGCTGACATAGTCATATGCGGCCGGGCTTCGGATGCGAGCCCCGTCATCGCTTGCGCGTGGTACTGGTGGTCTTGGAACAGCACGAGCTACGACAAACTAGCGGGGGCTCTCGTCGCCGGGCACTTGATCGAGTGCTCGGCATATGTCACTGGTGGGAACTTCTCCGGGTTTGAAAATTTCGACCTTGATCACTTCGTCAATCCGGGTTTTCCGATTGCAGAGATTTCACAAGACGGAACATGTATCATTACGAAGCATGCTGGTACAGGTGGTATGGTAACTGTTGATACCTGCAGAAGCCAGCTTTTGTACGAGCTCCAAGGCAATGCCTACCTCAACAGCGATGTCAAGGCATACTTGGACGGCGTTGTGATGGAGCAGATTGAGGACAATAGGTAAGCTATCAGCCCTGCAACTGTGAACGAGTTGCTAAGCCGCTTGCAGGATTCGTGTTTCTGGGGTTCGTGGTGCTCCACCACCTGATACCACAAAGCTTGCCGTCTTTTACAAGGGTGGCTATGAGCTCCAGGCTCTGTTCAATGCTACAGGTCATTCTTACGAAAGGAAGGCTGCCCTCTTTGAAAAGCAGATCAGAGCCCTGATCGGAGATGACATCTTGAAGGATTTTGACGTCTTGGAGTTTCAACGGTGTGATTCCACGGATTAACTTGATTCTTTTCTTTCTAACAGAATTCAGGATTGGTGTCCCTGCAAGCAACCCGGTAAATCAGAACAGCAACACGATTTACATCCGCGTTTTTGCCCAGTCAACCAAGCCGGACGCTCTCAACGCGATCAACCACGCAGTGCGTGACATTTCATTGCGGCACTATTCCGGTTAGTGTTGCAGCTCTTATACCATAGAATCATTGGACAGTATTGCTGAATGAGAATGATAGGTTTTCACGCCTCCTTGGACTCGCGCGCCTTAGCTCCACGTCCTTATCTTGCATATTATCCCGCACTGTGGCGTCAGCACGATCTCGAGGAGCGTTTCCATTTCGTGAATTCGGACGGCACAACAACAGCCTTCGACACGACACCACCGCCCAAGTTTGAGGATCTTGGTGACCGTGAATCATATGACACCAAAACACCTGTTCAGATCCAAGGCGACCTGAAAACCGTTCGTCTTGGTCAAGTTGCCTATGGGCGCTCCGGGGACAAGGGAGCCAATCTGAATTTCGGATTGTACGTTCAAACACAGGCCCAATGGGACTGGCTGCGATCGTACATGTCTCGCGCCAAGGTGCAAGAGATGATGGGGGACGATTGGCAGACAGACTTCTCCATTGAGCGGGTTGAGTTCCCCGGCATTTTCGCCGTGCATTTTGTTGTGTATGGTATCCTCGGGCGTGGTGTCAGTAGCTCTAAGCGACTGGATGGTTTCGGGAAGGGATTCATTGACTACTTCAGGGACAAGGAGGTGGAAGTCCCGGTCTCGATCTTGGACACACCGATCAGTGGCTTTCAACCAAGTAGACTCTAGTTCTATTGTTTCGGCAATGGTGATATTTGTCAATAGGAAAATCTAAAGTTCAGAAATCATCACAAATTCAGAATGCATGAATCACAATTTCATCCATGAACCATCGGTTCATCCAATGTCTATAACCGACTGCTTAGCTAGCACTCAGCATTGAACGGAGTTGGGAGAGTTTACGGGAATTTCCTGGTCCCCGACACCCCGAAACCAATCCAAGAACGGCAATAGTACCGGAATTCCTTACACACCATCCTTACACACCATGTTACCCCTAAAACCGGAAAATCGTCATTCAAGCGGCCAGCTGTGGGATATTGCGGGGTAGAAAACACTATATTTATATATTTCCATACTGATCTTGAGCTTCCAAGTCTCGTGAAGCTACGATATTATTGGTTAGCCTGAGTCTGCCGAGTTAGGTCTCATTACTATCAACGCCAAACCTACCAACAGGTTTAACTCCATAAGACCTTGTTTTAAATCACAAATATGGAATATGACACGAGAGAGAAGATTGAGCCGTTGGGAACCATTGAGTATGTGATCAACAGCGTTCAGAATTCAGTTCTGAATACTAAATCTGCCAAGCACTTCAGTCTTGAGTCAGGAGCTAACGTTCAGACAGTCCCGAGATTGATGCGGTTGGTCAAGAGTCTAGAAGCTTTTGTCATCCTACTAATTTGACCAGTTCATCAAAGCCCACCCAATGCCTTCGTTTGGCGGGACCCAGGATGTGATGCGAGAGATGATGGAGGCGGCAAAGACAGCACGCCAAGACTCGGACGTCGAGTACTCCATCAAAATTCCCATGAGGGATGGCTACCAGTCGGAGACGCGCATTCATAAGCCCCCCTCTCCAGATGGGAATCACCCGGTTCTCGTTTTCGTCTACGGGGGTGGCTTCATCATGGGAGACTGCACTCAACTGAGCCCCTACGCGCGCATTGCTGCAAAGCTGTTCAACGCTGTCGTCGTCAACATATCGTATCGCCTGGCGCCAGCCCACAAGTTCCCGACCGCACCCAACGATGTCTGGGACAGCCTCAAGTGGATTGCGGCAAATGCGCATACCTTCGGCGGTGACCCATCTGTGGGCTTCATCCTGGGAGGAGCATCTGCTGGCGGTAATCTGGCCGCAGTCACAGCTCAAAAGTCCCTCAATGAAGGGCTCAGCCCGCCCCTCACAGGAGTTTGGCTCTCAATCCCCTACATACTAGAGGAAGAAATTGTACCTGCTAAGTACAAGGATATTTGGTTCTCGAGGGAGCAGAACGCGGCAGGGCCGGTTATTGACAAGGCTAGTATGGAGTTCATGGGACTTGCCTACTCCGCAGATATGAAATCGCCTGACCTCTCACCTTTCAATGCCAAGGATCCTCACAAAGGCATGCCTCCTGTCTACTTACAGGTCTGCGGTACAGACCCGTTGAGAGATGACGGTCTGGTTTATGAGAGAGTTTTGAGAGATCATGGGGTCAAGACTAGGTTGGACGTTTATCCCGGAGCTCCTCATGGTCATATCATGTTTCCTTGCAAGCTGTCCACCAAGTGTCATTTTGATACTTTTAACGGCTTAGCTTGGCTCCTGGGGAAGGAGACTCCTGACGAGGAAGTAATCACGCAAGAACTTGCCGTGAACCCCATTATGTCAGTCTAGATACGTTTCCACATAAGCCAGCAACCAAACCTTGCAAATTGAATTATGCATGTAAATATTACTTCTGTAGGTAATCATTAAAGCCTCATCGAAACCTGCGACTCGTCATCATCGTTTGATTGATTTTGTGAGTCCATCAATGAAGTTCGAAGATCATGTCTCCTTCCGACTTGCCCCTTGCAGTGTGCTGTCCGTTCCTATTGATATGTCGTTCTTTTCTGTGATTCCGTCTTTTCGACTTCCGTTTTGGCTTTCGATATCGAAGCATTTCTCTCTCATAATTTCGTCATATAGTGGCTCAAACTCCCTGATCTCGGGGAGAATAGTATTTCTCCGGGTTTCGTCCGCCTCTAGTTCTTTTAAAATTTGGTCTGGCGGCTTCGATGTGTCGGTTGCGACTGACAAGTCGACGACTCTGGTGTGGTATGTGTTCAGCACGACATCGTTCGAATTCTCATTGTTGCTCTTTTCGTATCCAAGAGTTGATGCCTTTTCCCTGAAGAAAACTCGCAGGACTGGTATTGAACTAGCAACAATAGCGGTTGCTGTCTCGACGGCTGTCCAAATCGTAACGTCCATACCGTTGACTGAAAAGTAGTCAATGACGGAGACTAAAAGCCCACTAGTCGCAGGTGTGAAACGTACAGAAAAAGTCCCCTTGTTCGAGTTGGACAAGATAGACGCCTTTTGTGATGGCGCAGACACCAGACCTGTTGAAGACTTTGTCAGCTTCCAGATTCAATGATTTAGCCAGCACAAGAATGGACTTACAGCCACCCAAGACTCATAGCCACACAAATACCGAGCTTCTCATGCTTGCGCATGCGCATTCCCCAAATGAGCTTCCAGGGAACCAAAGCCAACAAGAAGTCCATGGCAGCACACCATGCCGCGTTAAAAATCCCGTAGTTGAGGGTAATTGATTCGTCCCAACAAGTACCCTCCATCTGCCGGTTGAAGTTCTTCTGTACGGGCGTACATTTGAGCCATGTGAGAGTTGCACTTGGCAACATCACAAGTGTCAGAGTGACCACGGCAAACCACACGAAGCCCCTAAACCATCCACTTGTGAGGCGTAGTAACGTTACACCGAATCCAACTTTGCTGCCAGTCGAGGCAAAACATGATATCGAGGCGCCGATGGAGGTGTACATTGCTATCGTGAGGAGATTCGTCTGGGGACTGACATCGTAGAAGTGGCGGCCGAAACCGAGATTAATCCCCAATTGGGTGATGATGGACTCGACGAGGAGACATGTCTACAAATCAGGTTAGCTTAAGGTCCTTTAACCCGACTGGTGCGTCGGTAACTTTACCCATGAGAATATCAGGATCCAATCATCCCACCACAGCTTCTGATGACGACTCAACTTTGCGTATATACGCAAAGCTAGAAAGGCGCCGCAAAAGAAGCAAAGAAACCACGTTATTCCTCCGATCAGTGGCCCCCGCGTCTCGATCTGAGCCATCGCTATCGCATCGAGTGACACCTTTCAGCCCCGGCGCCAACGCGAGTCGACTGCGGGCGTCAAGTCGTGAAATGAGTGAGGTAGCCAAGATGGCTCTAGGAAAAAGTAGGAAACATCTGACGCACAGAGGCAGCGACATCCTCCCAGATATCGAAAGAGGTTGACCTAGGTCGTCCTGGACACAGTATGATATCCCCGAGAGCCGGTGCCACCGCCTGGAACTCGCGCGCTTCATTAAGGTTCATCTTGCGGCGCACGGCTACGGGAAGGAAGCGGGTTGTTTGTGCCCGGTGAGGCGGGTGAGCGGGAAGTGCGGTCTTGGGTGCCGAGAAAGACACTCGATGGCAAGGAGCCGGGGAGGCCGCTGTCGGGATATTTCATCCAGAGAGGACGCATGTCGGCGATAGAACTCGACTTGGCCACTTCCACGGAAGTCCAGACCATGAGGCAAGGTGTCATGCCTCGGGAAGTAGCCGATGGTGGGAAGAGGTTATCTGATGAATGAACTCTATTATGAGCTGATTGACTGTGTTGGTTGAAAAGACAGCCTTCTTCACCTGATGCCTTTGAGGAATCAGCAAGGATGTGTTGGCTAGGTGAGTCAGTTCTTCGGAGTTTAGATCATCAAAATGCCCTTGGCCTATGAAACACTGAAATGGACGAAGCGTCCCAGGTAGCCTAGAGCCATTCAATGTTTCTTGTTTATCCCTTTACTGCCAAGACATCTCGTCCAGGAGGCTCTTTGAAATGATAACATGCAGACATTCTACATGATGTGCATGGCTTTCATTTGGGTTCTCCGACTAACTTTCAACGGTTTCTCGATGCAACGCTGGGCAGACTGGACAGTAGTTGGTAGCCACTGATTTTGTTCTAGGTGTATTCGAGATGGCTGCCGGGCATCAAGCGTCGGAACTAAAACTGGGCTCAGACACCGAGTCTGCGTCACAATCTGCGAGAGACTTCCTATGATCAGACGTTGGAGCGAATGCTCTTGTTCCGCTCTCGCTTCGGTTTGTTGCATGGTTTCATGTAGCTTCTAGCCTGGGGCTGACGCTGAAGTTTAAATCCAAGACGCAGCCCTATGCCAATCGAAGCCGACCACCCCTCGTTGGGTAATGAGATGGCGAGATCAGGCGGACATTATTGCTCCGCATAAGGCCTCAGACTGTGGTGAGACCCCACTGAATCTGGATGCTCACGAACTTGAAATAGCCAAGACGGAGCTTGTGGTATCTTTTTGGCATGTTCCGATGGTCGTGAACGGAACAACATCGATGAGTAAGAGCCGTAGAGTCGGCATTGGCACTGAAAACCGCGCCCAAGGTCGGGACCAACACATAACAAAGTTTATCTGATCTTTTGGTCTTTGAAATTGAAGCAGCCAGTGACCCAGATTCATCTCCGGGTCAATGTTTTCGTCAGGTTCATGCTCCTTGACGATGTTCCGGCTCGCTCAATGATTTGCCTCAAAGACCTCTTGGGGCGCTGCAGAAGACGTGGCCGCCACCCCTAGCATGTGAAGCATCATCATGTCGACTACGATTGATAAACATTCATAATGTCTTACGTGCTATAGTATCGCGACGTGGCGGGAACGAGACGGTCATTCATATCCCGCGAAGTCCGTCTTCACAGTTCACGTCGACAACTGACCATTAGCCGTTCGCAATGCAAATAGTGGCATTCTGGGGCAGAGTGGGCCTATCTCGGTACGGACCGATAGATGGACCTCTTCTCGGACTGAATAGTGTTGCATTCCATTTGACCCTGGTTTCATGGGCATGGGATTACTGTAACTTCTGCGGTGCTTCTTCATCGACCATGTGCTTTTGATGATCACTTAATTGCCGTCGTGTGAGCAACCAGA